CCTACGCACTCGAAATGATTTAATCTGAACAAGTGAATGTGCCTTAACGTAAATATAATCTTGCCCGAACGGCCAAAACACCCCGTATCAGACGATGTTTTCTCCTGGGAACGCAGGATTAAATCGTTTTGGAGTATACATTTTCTTTATTAAGTTTTCTAGAGTACCCAGGCCGGTAAAAAACACTGTAAATTTATTTTTACAGTGTTTTTTACCATAAAAGTGTTTTACAATAAAAAACAAATAAAAATAAAAAGTCTTCTCAAATACGGGCATCCACTAAAAATGACTCTCTTATATCCGGGTTTGGTCTGTTTTATATACATTAACACAGGCTCTAATTTGGGACCAGAGAAAATCTCTCTTATATCCGAGTTTCTCTTATATCCGGGTCTCTTATATCCGGGTTACACTGTAATAGAAATATTCGCCTGGGTCGATACTCCACGAGCTAAGGATTGAACTTACAATTAGTATGCCATCCAATTCAAGGACGCTCACTTTAATCCGTTAGGATACTCTTTATTTTTGGTGTCCGGACTATGGTATTCTCAACATTGATCAGTGGAACTATATCACTGTCTCTTCAAGTCTCTTCTTTATCTGTAACATGATTGTCATGCATTCACTGTCATACAGGAGATCATTATTCTACATGCCAATTCATGAGATAGTTCTTTAATTCTAATCTCTTTATATTTTACTTAGTTTCTGAAAAGCATCTTTGCTACTCCGATGAAACTTCGGATTTCTGTGTCATATTTTTTCGTCGTTCCCAATACATCAACTGCTATATTATATAAATAGTACAGGGGAAATTTTTAAAATTTTATTTTTGGGGGCTTGATGCTCCTTGTGAGTGTTAAATACTTCAACATTTCTTTCCGCCTTAAACATCGCCACTTATTGCAGCTGTTGATTTTTAATTGTTAGCCGACGGTTCTCTGTCGTTATTCTTAGAAATAAAGAAAAGAGTACTGAACTGTTACGCAATATCATTCCTCCTATATGACAGTAGAAGATATATATGATATAAACTGGGATGTAAATGAAAGGAATTATTAGGAGGATTTGAAATAATCATAATTAAGTAATTCATCAAGAGTCAAGCATAGTGCAATACTGAAGGAATGTAACAGGCATTAAAACTATTCTAGAAAAGATACAACTTAGGTGGGCTCGTCATATTGTAAGACTGGATGAGCATAGGCTTCCAAAAATAGGAGCTGTATGGAGAACTACCAAACTCTAACCCTTCAGTTGAACGTCTACTTTTACGCTACAAAGATAAATTGAAAGACAACATAAAACGTCTCAACTTCGATCTGAAGACCTGGGAAGCCCAAGTATCTAACTGAAAGGAGTGGCGCACATGTTTTATTAAGTTAAAGAGTTTTGAAGACAGTAGACTGAAGCATCGTGATCGGCTTCGTCAAGCTCTGAAGCAGAGACGACATCCAAATCCTGCTCTAACAAATTACATCCGTCACACTTATGAAAGCCCAACTGAAATATCTTTTCCTTTTCCTTCTGATTTTTCCACAATATCCCCTATTAGCATGCATAAGTGTAAAACAAAAGGTACCATCCAATGGTGACCCTCGTTTATCGTTCGCAATAGGAGAGTCAATTATATGACAGTGAATGCTGGACAATCTCCTCAGAGATGAAGAAGAGACTAGAAGCAATGGAAATGTGGTTATACAGAGGATGCTGAGAATATCATGGACTAAACATATAAGCAACGGCAAACTTTTAGAGAAAATGGAAATGAAAAGTGCACTTATAATTTACAGGAAGAGTACAGGGTTGACATTTCTAGGATACATAATGAGGAAAGAGGGTTTGGAAAATGTGATACCCACAGGACAGACTGAAGGCAAGAAGGACAGAGGAAACGACGTGTAATCTACATAGCCAATTTAACTAACTGGATGGCAGAACAGGGTTTAGGAGTGATAGCAAAAAGACTACATTTATTAAGAACTATTTAGGACAGGAAATTGTGGAGAGCCATCATCGCCAACGTCCAGAAGAGACACGGCACATAGAAGAATAATAATATTCGATTCGTATGGCGTAAGGCTAATCCATATTGTATAGGATGATAGAAGATTGTATAGCACCAGATTCTCCCCAAATTAATATTCACTTGCTGAAAAAGTTAACATTCGAATTTCAATTTCTTTCAGCCTCAGGGGTTTCTTTCGGCCTCAGAATATAAACCGACATATATCATTCTTGATGTTTGTTAAGCTTTATACAATGAAACTCCAGATAGCTGAAAATGTAAAAAAGAAAGAATTCATTACTCCGATCTTCTAATTACCTGCTGATGTGGGGCCAAAGTTGGGATCACAGAAGGAAAACACGAAACACGGATTAGATGTAAGAAAGATATATTAACAACAGGTTACAGAGATAGTGTAAGCGGAGCTTACTATATGTTAGTGTCCAATACTGGTAGTCGTACGCGGCTCTCTGTGTCTCTCTATCTCTCAGTGTAGATTGTTGTGTCGCATACTTAATATAGACCTGGAAGAGTCTATTGTGTAAGTAGTTCCGGTCTCACAATACCTGCTTAAAAAATCAGTATTAAAAATTCTTGAACACCGCTTTCTGATACTGGTGAGAAATACTTCAACTACATTTGGGACCACAAACGTAACAGTTCGTATTTTGCTTCAAAATGTTGCCTATAAATATATTCATATTCCTTGGTAATATAGATATTTCAAAAATAGACTTTATTTCGCGAACAGCTAAATAAGTGCACTTTTCCAATATTGTGTTACATTGGGGGGATGAGATGTTGAAGTCATTATTTCCCGGCAGACGACAACTCTTTCAAGTCATTATTCATGTAGTAGATTTTTTTTCTTACCGAATGTTTTATATTTATTGCATTCTTTTCTTGCTACTCTTTCCACCAAACTCTTTCATCCTGTTTTCATTCCTCTCTTTTGTTTTTCTTTCATTTTTCTTTCTTAGCCGATTCTTTGCTTTTTCCTTTCATTCCTCTTTTTATTATTCATTTTCTTTTCTCTTCTTCTCTATCCTCATCCATATTTATATAACTTCTCATAGCTTTCCTCTTCGTTCGTTTTCCGTCTTCCCTTTAATTTTTCCATGTTCTCTTTCTTTTTGCTTATAACTGAACTCGTTAAATTGCACCCATCTTCTCTTCGTAACCAGAAGAATGGCTGATAGGTCTTATATATATATATATATATATATATATATATATATATATATGTGTGTGTGTGTGTGTGTGTGTGTGTTTTAAAATCATATCGCCCCAAGCAAGGCAATAAAGCCCCTAAAATGCAAGAGGTTGCCGAATGTGAGGAGATATGAGAAAAAGAAGGCATTATTAAGGAGAGAGAACAATAAAAGAACAGAAATTAAGAGGACAGACGATGACAATTGATATTGCATTCAAAATTTTGAAGATCACTGGAAAGCAAGAAGCTGGAAGAGAGTTCCACAAGCGCAAATTGCAAGAAACTGTTAGCATAGAACATACGGTTATATCTCGTCATTTCTACTGTAAGATGATGAGACTTTATGATCAGTCTAGTAGAACGCTTAAATTCATGAAGTCAACAAAAGAGAAAAGTTCATTAGAACAAATACCATGAAAATATTTATATAAAAGAAATAGGAAAGCTATACTATGGAGGCGGGAAAAAGACTGAAGTCAAGATGCCAGGTCAGGACCAATAACATTACAGATTCTTCTTTGTATTTTAACAAGAATCTCTAAATATACCTTTTATCTGTTCAGAATTTCGTTTCCGGTTCCTTCTAACTTTACTTTATACTTTCTATCTCTAAAATCTCTGCTTAAATTCTGAAATTTCATTTACTATTTATCTATTTTTAATTTATTTACATATTTTTCCTTTATAGGAATAGATAGGTTCGCTTATTGTCCGGTTCGCTGACCTTCAGGGTCTTTTGAACGCTGACCTTCAGGGTCTTTTATCTTCTTTTTCTTGTCTATGATTGTGTTTTCGGTTCCTTCTCCTTGTGAAGTCTTCTAATTCTCTTTCACTCCCAGTAGCTCCTTCCGTCTTAGTGTCAATATCGCCTTGCTTGGGACAAAATTATTATAATAATATATAGCAGAAGCACTAAAACAGAACGTGGCAACTATATTTAAATAATATTTGTATATGATTAAGATAAGTCTATATAATATCCTTACTTAGTATATTACTCTTTTTTGTTGTGATTTTTCTCCTTGAACCGTGCTCCGTTAGGACGTGGGGGTCATAAGTTCACAACCTCTTAACCTTTGTCAGGCCTCAGATGAAGTAGTATGAATGGGCGGGAGGTGGATCACCGCAGCCTCAGATCTCTCATGACCCATATAACCCCCTGTAAAAATTAAGATTTTCAAGCCCTCATTATGTGTCCAAGAATTTTCATCTCTTCTTGATTCTGCATATAAGTGTTACGATTTTATTCTAGACTTCATCGTTTCTTACTCTCTCCGTCCATAGAATTCTCAATATCCTTCTGTATAACCACATTTCCGTTGCCTCTAGTTTCCTCTTTATTTGTTGGCAGCTTGTTCAGCATTCACTGTCACAGAAGAGGATTGATCTTCACATGGCATTTCAGTGCCCATTTATTTGTTTCTCACGAAATTTTCGTGTTTCTTAGTACTTTGCTTAACTACTCTAATGTATTTTCCTTAATCCGATGCGCGGCCGGATTTAGGTGTGGCCTTTTCTATTCTTTGCTAAAATATCCTCTCCCTTCCATCAAATGTCCGTTTTAGTAGGAATAGGAAAAATTGTTGTAACACAAGGGAAATCTTTCTTTTTTTCATTTTGATATTTAATAAGCTATCAATAATAAAGCAACTGCCAAAGCCAAAATGCGACTAAAGGAAAATTTTATTCTGCTAATATTTCAACTGAGGAAGTTGTGCCTGCTTAGAAAATCGGCATTTCACATTCTAGCTCTTAAGTTGATTGTAACATCTGGTAATGCTAGGATACACACAACTATTTCAACCGAAAGGATCCCTTCTTTCTCATTTCATAGCTCCCGTTATTTTTCGAGACACTCACGAGTTTTTTTATGTATTTATTCTTCTTTCTCCCCTTCTTCTTTTTATTACATTTCTGTTCATTTTTACCTTATTCTATTTTTTCTTTTTCTCCTTCTTTCACTACTTCCTTTTTTTTCCCTTTAGCCTTCTAATAAGTTGTCATCCCACCAATTTCTATACCGGCCTCAACTCACCCGGTTCATTTTTATGGTCCAATTAGCAAAGATCAGTTCCCCTTTGTCCGATTCGCTAGTTCTCGTTTATGTCGCGTTCTTGTTCTCGCGGGATCCGGGCGAGTATAATGCAGCTTTGTGTGAGTCAACACCTTTACGTCAAATGCCTTAGTCTATTTTGAAAAAAATAGCTTAGTCTATTTAGACAAAAAAATAACAAAACAAAAAAAAGCAATAACAAAGAGAATTAAATCACAGTAGACATGTTATTCTCACCGGCAAGATACTGTAGTAAACTCTCAGAGTAACATCTAACAGTAACATAAACAAAAAAGACATTTAAACAAAAAGAAATTCATGCTCAACAATACGCATGCGCATACATATATACTTATAAAAGAATAGCATCTCATTGGATATACCACGCTCTTGGCCTTGTGCCACATCTCAGCTACGCTTAAAAATCTTTAGGGCACTTCGACGTAGGTGTCATCTTTAGCAAGCTTGTCTCGCTAGATTGAATAGTGAGTTCGATCCTCACTGGGTGCTTCATACTATCAGTCTTGTGCAGCATCTAAGCTATGCTTAGAAAATCACCATCTATACTTATAAACACCAGAGAAGTCTGTGACCTTATGGAAGAAAGATCGTGTAGCGACAATTTTAAAAGTGCAGAAGCAACTTGCTCTGAAAATGAGCATTAAAAATCACAGCATTTTACATGGTGTTAACCCCATTTGGAAATACGCAACTGTTTCAGCCATTAAATATATAAAATTCTGTTACAAATTTCATCACAAAGTAAAGATGGGATGAGGTACTGAGTTAATAGTGTACTCAGATGGAATACTTCAAGAAGTCTTAAACAGAATAAGGAAGGAAAGCGTAATGAAAGGACTAACTATCAAGTATAAACTGATGTCGTCAGCATGAGAAGCAACTAATGAATTGGAGATGGCAGAATCAAGCACGTGCAGATATTTAATTATGTGGGTAGTCTAGTGACAGACGACGGAAAATGTGACACAGAAATCCGAAAACATATAGTAATAGCGAAAGAGGCCTTCCAGAAACTAAGCAAAGTAATTAACTCATAAGAAAAGATCGTTGGAAACAAAGGAAAAAAAAACTGATGAGTTAATATGTCGGAGCTATCGCTCTATACGGCGGTGAATGCTGGAAGATTTCATCACAGATGAAGAAAAAATTCGAGGGTGTGTATCAGGTTACACTACAAAAGAAACACTAAAAAATAAGAAAAAAAGACCCCCCCAAAAAAAAACAAAAAAAAAAAACAAAACAAAATTGTTAGGATGGAAGTGATAGGGAGAATATTATAGAAATATCCGAGCAAAGAAAAAATAGAATTAAGAGGAAACTCAAAAGTAAATCAGAGAGTGAAAATTGAAATTTCTAGAGCAAGCAATGAAGAAACGAGGTTGGAAAGATTAACACTCACTGGACATATTGGGAAGGAAGGACAGAGAAGAAACAGCAAACGAATGTCTGGCAGATTTAGGACAGAGTGTTTGTCTTCCTCTTTTATGTGCCGTCTCCTTTCAGGACGTAAGCGATCATGGCTATCAGCTTCCTCTTGTCCCCATAAGTTTTGTCTTTTTGTTATTTCTCCAAGACCCTATTCTGGCATCTACTTGCTCGTTAAGTATGTCACGCGTTGCTTTCCCTTGTCCCTCGTTCCCCTTATCCGCCCTGTGAGTATCATATTTTCCAAGCACCCCTTTCTCATTACGTGTCCCAGAAATTTTATCTGCCTTTTCTTGATGTTAAATATAAGTTTCCTCTTTGTTTGCATCCTCTCCAAAACCTCGACGTTGCTCATGTATTTGGACCATGGTATCCTTAGCATTCTTCTGTAGAACAACACCTCTGTTGCCTGGAGTCTCTTCTTCATCCTTGAGGAGATCGTCCAACATTCGCTAGCGTAAAGGAGGACAGATATCACGTAGAAGTTCAGTACTCTTTTCTTTGTTACTAATGAAACCCTTCTGTCTCGTAATACGCTGGCTAGCTTTTGGAATTCGTCTTTGGCCATCCCAATGTGTGTGTGGGATGCGGCATTCACCCTGGGCGGATTGAGCCAGCTTCTTCCTGTTGTGAGAAGAAGATTCTTGGGATAAATTACAGAAGTAGGGTACCCAGGCCTACTCGGATAACGTTCTAGCTTGCCGCGGGGTTCCCACAGACGCAGAGACAGGAACGACCAGAAGCCGCCGGTTGCCGATGCAGACGCTCCTTGGATTTTCACCATAGCCGGCGTGTGTGTCAGACCTGTCCACCTTGGGTGACCCTACCAGGAACGAAGTTCCGGACGGCATAGCTCTGACACTACCGTTTACACCCCCCCCAACGACTGTGAGGTAAGGGTTGAACTTTGGGGGCTTACAGTACCAGGTGTTCCCAAGCGGTCCCCCAACTAAGTACTGACCTGGCTCTACGATGCTTAACTTCGGTGATCGAACGAGAACCAGTGCGTCTTCAGATTTAAGCGTTGCACTTTCCATCTTCTTTCAGAAGACTTCCTAGGTATTTAAATTTTCGCACTTTAAGAGTTAAGAGGTTGTGGAGAGCCATGTTCATCCACGTTCAATAAACATTAAAGAAGGCGGCATTTTCGGTATCGCTTTCTAGATTCAGGTGCTTGACAAATGAACATTCCAAACACTTGTTTTTTTACCGAGGCCCGACCATAAAACTACTGGATCGGTTGATAAATTTAAAGCTCATATCGCGTATCCACCATTACTTTCGTCGGTCTTGCATTGTTTTCATTCTTTCCTGTTATTCTCCCTTCCTTTCAACCAGCCAGCCTGTTACCCTTCTTTCTTTTCTCTCTCTCTCTCTCTCTCTCATTCTTTTCGTTCTTCTTTTGTTACTTTTTTCTTTCTTTCCTTCATTAATTCAGTTTTTTCTTCTCCCCGTTATATTTCTCTTCTTTTGTACTTTTCATGATACCATAAACACTTCGACGCTAATTTAATATTCATGTGTGGGGTGCTCGAATGTTGCTATTTCGTGTTAATAAGTAATTGGCAAACAGAATAAAAGGTGGAGCGAAAGTCGTAATTTATTCAATAATATTACTTAATACACAATATAATTTTTTTATTTTCTGATATCCAATAGTGGGAAGGTGACCGAGTTGTTACAACGTTCGATTTCTGGCCATGAGATCCGGATTCGAATCTCACCATGGTAGATTTGTCAGGAAGGAGAGTTTTTTAATTCATCGGCCGGGGGGGCATCCCAGCGTGCAGCACCTTCGAAAAGTTCCTAAAAACGATACCAAGGCGCATATATTTCTTTAATCAGATTTCTCGAATATTTAGACTATTAGACAAAAATGAATAAATATACTGTTTAATAAATAAATGGAACGTCTATTCAAATATGAGTATACATTAAAAATAAAGTTTTAAGTGAGAAAAATATGTCGGATTGATAAATGAAATCCGTTAGCTTAGAAAATTACACAATGTTGTATAATGTACGGCATAAAATATTGTAAATTTTTAATATTACAACATACCAAATAATAATTTATTATAGTATGTATTTTATGATATGATTAATATGCAATATTTTATGATATAAAATATTGCATCTTACAAAACGTCTACATTTATTACAAGGGTAAGTGTAAAATTATCCGGACTTTCGTCATAATATGTCTTTAAGTTTGTCCCACTGTTTTCTGCTTATAGTTGGTACTATTGTGGTCACGTGATCGAAGTTTGAGCGTGATTGCTCTAGTTGTATTGCTGCTGTTACAGTGTAAACATAACCGCTCCTCTAGCAGTGTGCACCAAGGAGGAAAAGAGGAGCAGTGATGCGGATCTGCAGAGAAAATGCTACCTCATCGACACGCCGGTTCGACATTACCATCTTTCGAGCTTGCTGAATCTTCTCATCAGTGGTTGGAGGTTGACGAGCGTCCTCGTGTGTCAAGTTTGTCCCGTCACTGTTATACTTTTTGATCGACTCACACACACTTCTACTCGGTGGTGCTCTGTCGACATATTGTGTTAAACGCCTCCGATGGATTTCACCCCCTGGGACACTTGTTCGGATCAGAGAAATCGGATCACTACTCTTTGTTACCGGATAAAAAATTAAACAAATTTTAAACGTATCTCTACTTCTTCTATTTACCCTCTCTCTTCAGATCGAAGGTGACCATGGCACTCCACAACTTCCTGCTCTTTGTAAATTTTATCTTGTTGCTATCTTCCCTAATCCTTGTTCTGACATCCATTTACACAAGCTCATTTAAGCAGCTTATGAGATGCTTTCTCCCTTTTGTCTGAATTATGTCCTCTCAGTGACAAATTTTCCAAGCCTTCTTTTCTCATTATGCGACCTAGAAATTTCAACTCTCTTTTTGATACTACCTATATATGTCCTTCTTGTTTCCATTTTCTCTAAAACCTCTTCGTTGCTCACATATTGAGTCCATAGAATTCTGAGCATCCTTCTGTAGAGCTACATTTCTGTTACCTCAAATCTCCTCTTCATCTGCAATAAGATTTTCCATAATTCCCTGCTATATTGGTGGACTAATACACGAGATTATAATTACGTTAGGTTTGCATATTTTACACGGGTAAGTATTATGCATGAGTATTTACGTTTTTTTTTTGTTTGTTTTTTTTTTTTTGCAATTACTAATAACCGTTTGTCGGGTGGTATCCTATCTGGAAAAAGTAAATGGTTATGTCTATTTAAGTAAATGCTGAAGTTTTACATTTCTCTGTTTTTTTTTTTTTTTTTTTTTCATTTCATTGTTTTATATAAAGACTGATAATTGCTTTTCGGTTAGGTTTCGAGGATCGAACTTACTACTCAGTATTAATGTTCGACCAAAATAAGCTCCTTAACCATTACATATGTCGAGGTGTCAATTCTCTTTCTGATATCTAAATAGGATTTTCACTTTGGTAATTCACAGACGTCTTTTTTTTTTTTATAATATTCGGCTTTTCGAAAAGTAATTACCTATTTCACTGTTATGAATTATGTGTCAACCAAACAAGGCAGAACCAAGGTTGAATACTACGAAACTGCGTCTAGAATTAGTTTATCATCTCTTCTATTCGACAATCTGTCATTTATAGTGCATTTCAGACGTTTATTGCCGGCAACTCGATCGGGTAAACGAAGCATTACGGTGAAAGTGTTCTGCTTTGGTAAACAGAAAAGGTGTTCATGTTCTCCAGCATGACAATGCAAAGGGTACACTACAAAACAAAGCAAAGAAAAAACAAAATCGTTAGGATGGGAGATTTTCCCACGTTCTTTATACTAGATTTAGCACCGATAGATTTTTTTTTTCTCTTTCGATCGCTAAAACATTTCATGGCAGGCAGTGGATTCAAAAAACAAAGAAGTTGTAAACATTCTTTCAAACTTTTCACGAGGGAAAAAATCAAATTTCTTTAAACGTGGAATTGAAAAATTGCTCTCCCGTTCGGCTGCAACCATTGAAAATAAAGGTAATTACATTTTTCATAAATAAACGTCATTAATTTCTGAACAGTATGCTATAAAGAAATACATATATAAAAAATATGAAGAGATACATAAATAAAACATATAAAGAAATGCATGAATAAAAAATATATACATAAATAAAAAAAAATAATTTTATGGTACTGTGTTGTGTCCATAAAAAAATAAATAAAAATTATAGTGTTAAAAAATAATTATGATAAAAATAATTATAACAATTATAATTATCATTAATTCACTCATTCTAAACAATGAGAATCGTGCCCAATTTTCTCTACACAGGCAAACATGTAACGTTCTCATTATCGGACAAGCAGTTCACACGAACAGGTCGTTAACACGTGCTTCTACGAAAATTTTCTCTCTTTTTGCTTTTTCAGGGCATAATAGTAACATTTATCTTTTAGCATTCAACAAAAATTCGAAGTAAGAAAACCCCTGACACTTCTATTTTCTAACTAAATTATCTGGACAATTATTATATACATCTATATATAAAAAAAAACATACGGGAAAGACTGTACACACTTTCCTTATTCTTTATCTTATCCGTCTGTCGGATTCTGATCCATATTTGATTTATATTTGGCTCCAAACTTACAATTTTATTCAGTATAACTGCCTCTTGTGTCTCCAAAACCACATAACAGCGAGATAGTAGATAATGCCAGTTTTGTTGTTTTCACGACTTGCTGATTCCTAATTTTACGATTATTTTACGATGTATATATAAATAAATGTAAGTTGTTTTTATAATTATTTACTCACAGTTATAACTGCAATTCTCATGAATATATTTACTTCATATTAATTTTGCCAATCCTATAGTCATTTAATTGCAACGTCACTTGCCATCTTCTGTCTTCGTAAACACTGTTCTTTCATTTTATTTTTCCTCATTTCTCCCCACTAAAAATCTTTCCTTTTCACGCCATCTAAACCCCTGTAAATCATGCTTTTTCACTCCTTGTAAACCCATATCTTAGTAGCATTGTCACCTTGCTTAGCATGAAACGATTCAAAAATATTAACGGACGCTTCTCTTAATTAAAGTATTCAGTCAGTTAAGTACCTGTTATACGCTTGAGCGACCATGTCTCTTTCGGATCATGAGTGACTAGAGGGAAGATATTCCCACAGTAGGCTGCCGTTTCTTTCTGTGTTAGACTGGTTGCCAACCAAAGCTGTAGAATCGGGAAAGAAAAGACGGATTCATACTCACCCCAAGGGCATTTGCGCGTAAATGAATACAATGAACTCAACTGGAATTCGAACTCACCGATTTCTCATGCCGTGCCGTTATGCATTACAGCACATCGACATATCTTAAAACTTATTTTTAAAATTTTCTTAAAATGTAACAATTTTTTAACCTACGCATGAATATTGAGTGAGTGTTTCATTTCACCTGTGCCGTCAGCGTTCAAAGAGACCTTATTTCTCACTTTTGTTGCATTTGATAAACTTGCCTTTTGATTCATCTAAAAAGAATCTTTTTCATCACACAACTTTCGTCCGTTTAACTATTAAAATTTTTACTGCTCCTTCATATTTTATCGTTTGAATGTAGTGTTTAAAGTTCAGGTTCAAAAAGAAATTATTAGTAGCATGTTAGTTTTACAGGTTGTAGTGCATTCGGTTCTCTCATCGCATTCTCTCCATATAGATATGGACTAAATATAATTGGATCGAAGTCACTCAGGATTTGGCCAATTTTATGCGTTTTCGTTTCTCGAAATTTTTTTTTTATCTGCTTTTGAAATGTTTAACAGATTTGCTTACTGCATTAAAACATTAAATGAAAAATATTTTTTATTTCACAGTTTCCATTTCAAGGTCCATTTATTATTTGCCCCTTCCTTCCTTCCTTCCTTCCTTTCTTCCTTCCTTTATTCATTTTTATAACTTCATTTATTTTCCTCCGCCTCTCTTAGTATTTCTTCCACTTTTTACCTGATCATCTATTCTTACTGCTGTTTTTCTCCTCCCTCTGTGATGTTATCTTTATCTCCCTTTTCTTTTGTTCCTCTTCCCTCTACTCATCTATTTTCTCTCTCTGTATAATGCTTGCTACGTTTTCTAATCTTTCTCTCGTTGTTTCTTATTCAGTTCAAAACAAAATATTTCTATCTTTTTTTTTCTTACTCTGTGTCTCCGTGGACCATTCAGTTCATTTTTCTTACATTTTCTATTCATTTTCTATCTTCACTCATTTTTCTTATTATTTTCGCATTCTCTTCTCTTCACCTTTTCCTTCATTTCCTTTTAATGTTCATTTTTTTCTCTCTTTCATCTCCTCTTTTTTCTGGTGTTATTTTATCATCTTCTTTCTTATTTTTTTTTTCTTTTCTGGTACCCCTCTCTTTGTTTCTTACTTGCCTTTTCTCTCTTTGCCTCTCTCTTCCGGTCCGCGTATAATCTTTACTTTTATCCACTCTCTCAATATCCCTATTTTCAGAGGTGATTTTCACTTAATTTTTTTTGGCTTTTTATAATTTCTACACCCTCACTATATTTCTTACGCTTTCCCCACTCTCTCTCCCCTTTTTGAAGTGATTTTTACTTGACTCTTTTGCTTTTCATCATACCTATCCTCTCACTATATTTCCTGCATCTTCTCCTTCCCTCTTTTTCAATCTTTATCTTCCCTTGAGCTTTTATTTCATTTTTACATCCCCCATATTTATTTCTTTTCCTTCTCCCCCCCACTCTCTCTCTCTTTTCCTTCTCTCTTCCAGTAGGATCTTTTTCTAATTTCTACTCCCACCTCTGTATGTTCCTTACGTTTTTTTTTTATCTCTCTCTCTTTTACCTTCTTTTCCAATTTGATCTCCCTTTGACATTTTCGCTATTTATCATTTCTGCTCTCCCTCTCTTTATTTTTTACTGCCTTTCTCTCTCTTTCCCCTCTCTCTTTCTGTCTGATCTTTTTCTCACTTCTAATCCCCTTCTCTTTATTCCTTTCCCTCATATTTCTATCTCTATCCATTTCCAAACATCCCCCTTTGATCTACCAATTTTAGTTCGTTTTGCACTTACCCATCCGCCATTTTCCTTCCTCTTCCACTTCCCCTTCTTTACACAACCTCATTCAACAGGTTTCTGTCGTGAGGACAAGATGAAACGACAGTAAGTCGCGTGAGAGTTCACAAATGGCGTCCATTGTGGAGAGACTTTCTCTCATCACCTCTTTGCCAATAACCGTAACTTTCGCGTTTTATGGCCTGTGTACCCGTGACGCAGGCGTGCGGACGACTGTACGCATCTGAGCGTAACGTTTGTTCAAGGTTATACGAACGCAGATGTAGATGTTCTCGTCTGTGGCGTCTACACGCTCATGTTTGCTAATGGAAAGCGTGTAAGATTAAAAAGCTCTTATATACAAAAATCTCTTTCTCTTTCTCGTACGTTTTCTATTTTCGAATTTTGTGGTTGGCGGCGAATTTATTTTCGTTTTCATGGCAAGAAAGCCCATGCTAAATATATGGAGGGACACGCGCGCACGCGCACACACACACACACACACACACACACACACACACACACACACACACACACACACACATATATATATATATATATATATATATATAGATAGATAGATAGATAGATAGATAGATAGATAGAACGTTAGATTAGACGTTGTCATGGTTCACTAAGGAGCCAAATGTTTTTGCTACTACTACCCAAAAGTTAAAAGAAAATGTTAATGATGAGATTCGATATCGAGCGGCATTTAAGGCAGCTCCTGCGCAGGGTACGTTATTGGACCGTCATCACAATAGGTAAGGAGGAGTAGATGCGATAGGCAACAATAAACTACAGAAGAACTCAAAATTGATCGCTGCAAGTAAAAAATTCAACGGTAATTCTTCTGTTGTCACTTAATTTAAAGACAGTTTGATGCACGGTGGTCCTTACTTTCCGGAAAAAAATAATTATTTTTATTTCATCGGTGATATTCGCTGGATTTCGCAAATAATTTTGTTAATCTAATATTTATTTCCAAGATATGACAATTGTTGTCGTAGAAAAAAAATCACGTAAAAAAATCGCCGAAAACAATCGCAGTAATGAAAACTTGAGAATCCAAAATTTCAGGATTCCTGATCTGGGTCCGGATCCGAATCCAGCCCAGAATGTTTTGAATTTACTCACGGAGTCGGCCTGATTCGAAACTGATATGATATCGAAGAATTAAGTTGAAAACACGGACAATTTTATTTCGAAACAATGTAATTTGAGAACAGTAATTTTTTCATTTGAACATAAGCTATTGAAACTTAAAGAGTTGTGTCCCTTTAATTATTTTTATCTGTAGAAGCCAAGATGGCGGAATCCGAAAACAATCGCATAGTCCGGATCTGTCTTGAGAATCCAAAATTTCAGGATTGCTGGTGCGTATCCGAATCCAGTCCGGAATGGTTTTAATTTGATCACGGATTTTGCCTGATTCCAAAATGGTATGATAGATTGGGTTACGTACTATATGAGTAAAGTTGAAAGGTGTGACACAATGACACACTGACATTCACATTTATTATATAGATAATTTTCTCAAAAGAAGTTTTTAATGAAATTAGAATTCTCAGATCCACTGTTTCCCTTCATCTCTCTTCACTTATTTTTCTTACTATTTTTTTTCGTTCTATTGTCTTCATCTTTTTGTACCTTCCCTCTTTATGTTTATTCGATTCCTTCTTTCTTTTCCTCCCCTTTCTAGTTTAAGGAAGTGTGGAAATCAGTATCTTGGTGGTTTTCATTATTTTCCATCTTAGTTGAATGTGCTATCCGTTTAATTGTTACTTCATTTGCAATCCTTCATGAGACGTCGTTCCTGTTATTTCGTAATCTTCTTTGTGATTCTGGATCACCAGATTACGAGATCTAAAGAAGGACTGTCTTCTGCTTGAAACCATTTTTACTCATTATAGTTGTAAAGTTACATTGAAGCTAAAAAGTACATTAACATTAAAAAATGCCTTTCCTCCTCATCAATTCAGTTTTATCTCCGGAAATATTACTGACAAAATCATAAAAATGGTGGTTTAGTAAAAAAGTGGTTCTTACTAACGAAGATCGTGCCACTAATACTACATTTCATCGAGGACAGCTAAATTGACCTTTATATCAAAGAACAATGCATTTTTCTTAATCCACGACTTTCTTTTTTTTGTAAGCATCAACCAAACCAAAAAGAGAATTACAAGGTAATTCGATAACTTTCCCAAATACTCATACGATGAGACATATTTCGGAAGCCTCAGTAACATAATTCATTCTTTGAAGCATCTCAAATTTGGCAACGACGTCCTACAGCGGTAAATGTGGGTGGATTCAAGACCAGTTCATACTACACGTGATCCCTGACGGGGATTGGGTAGTCGTCTGATTGGGGGTCCTGGGAAGTGCTTTGTAACCCTTCCTATTTTATCAACATTTGTTTATTTCTACCTAACTTTATATACCTTAGAAATTAAACTAAGCAAAACTGACTAAAGTACAAAACATTTTTCGGATTTTGGCGTCTAATTGTTTTGCTCATGATAAGAATAAAAAAAAGTACTGTACAAAATTCACTACTTTCTATCCATAATGTTGAATATGTTTAAAATTCTACAACTTTCTAAAATTCTCAAGTTGATGTGAAAAATTGCCTCAAAACATTGTCGATTTATTTAAGATGAAATGATCTATTATAACATGTCTCTAATTTGTATTTAGATACATTGTATTTATTTTCAATTCTTCTAGTTGAATTGTTCCCCTATATTACATATGATACATTATTGTGCATAATTATGTTACAATACAATTCGTGTTTTATATGAATACTACCTTATGAAAATTGAGATGTAATCGAGTGGGTGTACCCGTAACATCGATTCGGCAGATGGAGGTTGTATCATAGATTCGGGGTGGCAGCGTGACACACTTGCACCGACTCTGGGTATATTTCCTAGTCTTTTTCTAATTCTATACATTTTCAAACTTTCAAAAAAGTTACTAGTGACAGTTCTAGGTGTATTAAACGTTTGTTCAATTTCACCAATCCCTTTCTTATCTTCATAATCAACCAAATTTTTCATCTTTCCCCCTTTCGTAAGATTTTCTCCTCTTGTTATCTGTAAATACTTTTAAAAAAATGCAGTATTTCTTGGTGTGAAGTGTTCCAATGACAACTGACAATTTCTAGGTCTTACTTTGAAGTCATGGCAATAGAAAATACTGGGACAGATAATGTATCTATTGGGATCTAGACTTTGGCAGTGATGTCATGCATGGCACCAATCTAGTTCAGAAATCTATAAACTACCAGCTATATGCAAGCGTTTTCCCCATATCAATGGATTCAAGTAGATTAAACTCTCAGGTATTAAAGGAGACTCCTCTTCATCAGGCCCTATATGTTTGGTGGTACACAATCACAAAGAAAGAGCTTTATCAAAAAACAAAAAACACACCAATTGAAGAGTTCACAACAGTAGTAACGACAAAAATGGATAACTAACTTACTTAAACAAAAAGTTGGGTGGGGAACAGCAAACAGTACTAGAAAGTTCGACGTCAGTTCCTGATCTTGTGAGGTGTAATTACTTGAAAAAACATTTTATAGAATAACGTTAACTGTTCGTGTTATATTGGAATAAAGCATCGCTGCCGACACTTGAGTTTGAACATAGATCGCCAGTGGGAAAACGCAGGCGATCCTATTATTGGCTTAAGTAGACCACGTGACCATTGACGGAACGCGTATATGTAGGATGTAGCTGACAACTAACGATCGCTATTTCAATTCTATCCTCTATTACTATTCGAATCACTCTTTCTAGTCTATCCTCTATTACTATACAGACCGCTATCCTCTACTCTATTCACTATACTATTCCTCTATTCGGATAACTATACGGATTACTATTCAAGCGAGTATTATCGAGCAAGTACTATTAGCGCGAGAGATAATCGAAAGCGTCTGACACCAGTATTGTTCAACGGCGTTATTATAGTTGTATCTGCGATTACAAAGTCTCTGCTACAACGAGCATTATGGAAGTGACAACGAATATTCATTGACCTTACAAAAGTGTCAAACGGCGAATGGAAACGGCGAAACTCAACATTACAAATATCATACTTGACGGTTATTCTGTACACGTTTTTATTCATTTATTGTTTACATATGCATTTTGGGGAAATTGATGACAAAGTGGAAATGTTTTCGTATGACGCGTTTCGTCCTTTCGGTCTTCATCGAACGAAAGGGATATTTATTATGATGCAACTACACATGCGCATGAAGGAGAAGAAATGCTGAAATATTCAATTTAAAAAAAAAATCGGTGTATAGTCTAGCGTATTTCATTTAGTTTCTTTTCCTTTATGTTTTTCGTACTTTTGTTATTAAATATCTCACATTGTGATACTACAAAATCTACCAAGAAAGGTGAAATGTAAAAACTTGGACATATATTTATTGTGGATAATCTAGTAATTAAAGCCCTTCCTATACATTTTTCCTCAGTAAATTGCTTTTTCTTTTTTTAAAGCAAAATAAAGAAACCCATCCATTGAACCTGCTGTTTTTTAAATGTCCGTTTTGCGTTAATATCATATATTGTTTGAATTCCTTGAGGTTTCTCCTATGTAGTTTTTGAAGCAATTATTACAGGTAGTAATTTCCTTTTTCAGGTTTTAGCTGTAGTTTTGTATTAATTAAGTTTTTTTTTGTTTTAGAAG